AAGGCGGAAGAGAGGAGTGCATAAAAGACAGAGTCCCAAGTGAATCAGGACTCTGAAATAGGAATGCCCTGGCTACCAGCAAACAGTTTGTGTTGAGATGTCAGAGCTAAAAATGAAGAAAAGCTAAATTTATATATGCAGAATTTTGAATGTCAGAATATCTAGAATGGAGTTAACCGTGCAAGTCATATGTAGCCACTGAACGTTTTCAAGCTAATTTGGTGACTGTGCAGAGTTGATGTGGGGAGAAAAAGGGGAGATGGAAAACCATAGGAAAGCTATCACCCTGGTTCTAAGAGTCAGGAATGGGGTGGAGGTAGTGAGACAATAGAATAGCCACAAGAAACATTCTCAAGCAACAGTCAACACTGAGTCCTTGGAGAACTGCGTTAAATCAGGAGAGGATAAACATGGAAGCAAGTTACTTAGGGATCAAAAGAACAGATAAAGCTTTTGAGAGAAAGAACATGAGGAAGAGAAGGGAAAATAAGTCTAAAAGCAGCAGCATACGAAGGTGAAGTAAAATATCAGGAAAGAGAGCTCACCAAGATGAGCTCCTAAATCTTCAAAGTAAAATTGTTTTTAATGGTGTCTGCAAGGAGGAGGGAGAAAGGCCCAGGGTGAGGGGTGCTCACCCCCAAGTGCAGAATGCGTGTAGGGTTTCCTGTCTCTTCCAGAAATACATAAGTACTTGTTAGCATGACCACTAAAAAATGCACGATTGAACGGAATTGCACAAACCCGTGGCAAATTGTGGACTAATAAAAGATCCAAAGCCACATTTCAGAGACCTTGCCCTGCTTACAAAGGAGCTCTGTCAATTTGGCAAAATAAATCGCCTTCCTCTGGGTCTCACTGTTAAATCAGAGAAGCAATACCGAGCCAACTTCTCTCATGGAATCGTATGAGATAATAAACGTCACTGAAAGTGATTTCAAACATGAGATATTCTATACAAACACATCAAATAGAGCAGCTGTAAAATAGCAAGTTAAAAAATGAGTATCTCCAAAATGCAGTGGTTTATAGCTACTATTTTTCCAAAAAAATGTAACTCTGAATAGCCTACTTTTTGATACTGAACAAGTGTTTTCTTGTTATATTTTAATTTTAATAATGGAATGATACCATCCAAGTGCATGCAATATCAGTTTGATAAATAGCATATTAAAATCAACTTCTTTTAAAAATATTTTATATTTAAGATAAAAAGTACTATCAAAGAATTCGGTTAAGTAAACATTGCCGAATCAGAAGCTTCTAGAATGAAAAACAATCAATACTCACATTTGCACCGATGCCTTCACCACCTTCAGGGACTTTGGGAAATGCATCATAGAGAGATGACACATACGTTATTACGGATTTTTCATCAGGAGAGGAAACATCAACATCTAAAAGAGGCAACACAAATTATTTCAAGAGGTTGACAGATTACTGTTGATCAAACCTTCAGGCCACATCTAGTCAAGGCAACAGCTCACCTTCAGGATCCAGGAGTCTGTTAACGCCAATTTTTTCTGCTACATAAAAAGCGTGCTCTAAATTTGCAAGGTTGCTTTGAACAGCAACAGTATTCATGTCTATCAGGTCCGGCCTAGGAAAAAATGCATTGTATTAATTACGTTTTCTCAGGTGCCTTTTCAACATTATATTTACATGCATATCTATTTATATAGCAACTGCTGAAAATATTAATTCTAAGCCCGTGTTAAGATTTTCACCAAAAAATTGCTTGCTTATCTCAGAAACGTGTGGCAAAGGCAAGTGTAATGAGGAAAAATATAAAAATTTGAACACACATAACTTTCGGTCAGGTCTACAAATCCCTCATAATCAGAATCTATAAGAACATCTGTCCCATTCAACCTATGCAAGTTCCACTACTCAACACCCTTCCAATCCAGCCAGCATCTCTCAATGTTTCTCCCCAAACACAAAAGCTTATACTCAGCATGGCATCCCCCATCCATCCAGGATGTCCTTCCCTGTCACTGTCATCTTCTAGAATCCTATTTGTCCCTGCAAGCAGAGATCAAGCCCATCTCCTCAGTGGAGCCCTCACTCATCTTCCCAGCTCTCCGTTTCTCTCCCTGTTCCCTGAACTCCTTATACAGCCTTGGCCTGTACTAGTCAAGTTGGCACTTAGAACAATCATATACTTCCTTGCCCTGTTAATTCACTGTTTAATGTGCATGTACATTTTGTTTCTCCCAACTAGTCAACACCAAGGTGGAAAGAACCATATGTTAATACACATTTGTATTTGATTCTGCTTCTAAGATAAAGAGTGGCATGTACTCAGTAGACATTCAATAAATACCTGCAGGTAAGTTGGTAAATGGGTTGATTAGTTAGTAATTTGAATCATAAATAGCTAAATAAGCACTAGTTTGTATCTTCACAAACATGCATGTCCACACACAACACACTCTCTCCTACCTCAGACTTCTCTTTCTAATCTATAGGACTTACATGATACTCTAAACCAGCATTTACCAACCTTTTGGACCTCACGGACCACCAGTGGTCCACGGACCACCGGTTGGTGACCGCTGCTCTAAACCACAAGGGCACCTAGCTTTATCTATATGAGATGAGAAAAGACTTCTAAAATACTCCTTAAATTAGGAGGCAAAATATGGCCAAAAGCCAATCAGGAAACTTTCATCTAAAAAATAAAGCATTAGTGTCCGGACAGTGTTGCTCAGTGGTTGAGCGTCAACCCATGAACCAAGAAGTCACCAGCTTGATTCCCAATCGGGGCACATGCCTGAGTTGCGGGCTCAATCCCCAGGAGGGGGGTGCAGGAGGCAGCCGATCGATGATGTTTCTCTCCCATTGATGTTTCTATCTCTCTATTCTTCTCCCTTCCTCTGTCTTTAAAAATCACTAAAAACATATTTTTTTTAATTTTCTTTAAAAAAAAATCAATAAAGCATTAGCCCTGTCTGGTGTTGCTCAGTGGTTAGAGTGTTGGCCTGTGCATCAAAGGTTCACGGTTCAATTCCTGGTCAAGGGCAAGTACCTGGGTTGCAGGTTCAATCCCCACCTACATGTGGGAGGCAACCAATTGATGTGTCTCTCTCACATTGAGGTTTCTCTCTCTCTCCCCTCCCTTCTCCCTCCCTTCCACTCTCTCTAAAAATTAAAGGGGGGCCCTAGCCGGCTTGGCTCAGTGGATAGAGCATCAGCCTGCGGACTGAAGGGTCCCGGGTTCTATTCTGGCCAAGGGCACATGCCTGGGTTGCGGGCTCAATCCCCAGTAGGGCGTGTGCAGGAGGCAGCCTATCAACAATTCTCTCTCATCGCTGATGTTTCTATCTCTCTCTCCTTCTCTCTTCCTCTCTGAAATCAATAAAGAAATATATTTTAAAAAATAAAATAAAATAAAAATTAAAGGGGGGGAAATGTCCTCAGGTGGGGATTAACAAAAAAAGTAATAAATTGTTAAAAGAATGCAGAAATAAATGTGGAAACTTAGTAAAGCCTTCAAAAAGTGTGGCACCCAGGCCCAAAGTCACTGAGTTAGAACCTGTTTATCAACTTCTAAAAGAAGGCTCTCTACCCCACAGGCACTCTGGTTCCACACTTGAAGAGTGCAGAAAAGCGGGAGGGCTCAGAGGTGGAGTGGGACAAATGAAATGCAAGTTATTTTGACTACTACTTGGAAGGCTTTTTACATGAGAAACTCTTTGAAATTATATCATTAATCTTAGGAAGGTAAACAGCAATTTGTGCTCCTATTTTTATCTGATGAGAATGCAGACTTCCAAAGAAATCTAGTTATAGTGTTATAACTCTTTAAAGTGTTCATTACCTTGAACTACAGCTACCATTATCTACTACCTGTTTCCCAGGAAATTCTTTTGTGTTTCACATGCCACCAATTTGATCACTGAAAAGTGGCCTGGCATGTATTATAGAAACAATAAATCTACTGACACCAGTAGAAGAATTAAATGACAAACCTCTAGGAATAACATTTTGTAGACATGTAGAAGCTTTTTTCCCCCCACACAGACCCTTTTGAACAATCTGCCAACTTTAGGATTACTAAACAGATGTGTATAACAGTCTAGACAAAAACAAATACCTAAAGTTCAAAAAACTGTTTTGCTTCCATAAAGTTCACACATTTTGAAAAAAATGAAAACCAGCCTTTCTGAATTTGCCAAGTCCCCCAACAAGAAAGAGCATGTTGTTCTGCGAACCCTGCCATTAGCAAAGAATGGTGAACACTGAGTAATCCCCGACAGAATGAATCAAGTCACTGAAGAATCGAGTTTTTGAGTAAGAGAATAAAACATAAAACTCCCTCCTGAATGACACAGTCATTTCAGCACAAAAGCAGCTGTATAATACGTGAGTTTGGATAAAGCACCTCTTTATCATGATATTTAACACTTTAATGGAACAAAAACTGAACCGGCTTTCCTCCATTAAAAAATTAAGCAAAAAGTGAAAAAGGATAAAATTTTAAAACCACTATGAAAAAGTAAGTGCCTGAACATCTTCAAAATCCTATCCCTCCCCTAATCCTCCTCGAAGGGCTTCCATTCTGCTTTGCCTCTATCCGGCTGGAGCTGCCAGAAGAGGCTCGTGCTGTGACCTGTCTCCCTTCCTTCTTTCAGTCCCGCTGGGATAACGCGACCTTCACAAACTTCAGCTATTTTCCACATAAAGAAGATGGGTTTCATTGCACTGTGCTATCTCCTTTTTGTGTAGCATTAATAGGAAATTTCATTCCCATTTCAGGTTTGACTAACTGAAGACTACACTATACTGTCAGCATGGAGAAGGCAGCAACCATGTTCCTGAATGATAGTTTAGACAGCTGAGCATGAACTATTCTGATTTCCTTAATTTCTGGAAACCTTTCAAAATCATGTAATATAACTCTCTGCTGCCTAAAATAATATATACTAGTTTTTTATGGAAAAGAGGCAATTCTAACTCTTATGTTATTATTCTGTAATAATGCAATCTCCTCTGAATGACTCAATCATCATGGATTGCCATTTTTAAAAACATATGTTTATATGCTACCTTTTTTCTATAAATTACTTAAAATAGCTTACAAAAAATGAAACTATAAGAAAATAACATAAATTTTAAATTTGAATTATAAAACCAAAACAGGTCATAAGATGAATGGAACAGAATAACAGATCTCAGTGGGGTGTGGGGGGTGGGAGGGGACAGGAAGAGATTAACCAAATAATACATATGTATAACCAATGGATAGAGTCCTAGTATGGGGAAGGCCTGGGGTGGGGCAGTGTTGAGTGGAGGGGGGCAAAATGGAGAAAATGGGAAACATCTGTAATACTGTCAGCAATAAAATAATAACAGTAATAAAATCTATATATATAAAAGCCTAAACGACCGAACGACCGAATGACCAAACGACTAAACGACCAGTTGACTGGTTGCTATGATCAGCACTGATCACCAGAGGGCAGACACTCAATGCAGGAGCTGCCCTTTGGTGATCAGTGTGCCGCTCAGCTGACTGATGGGTACCAGACACCGGGCTCATGGCTGACAAGCGCAGCTGCAGCAGCGCGAGCCTCTCCTGCCTCAATGGAAGCACTACCAAGTGGTGGCAGCAGGCACAGTGGGGCAAGGATGAGCAGGAGCGGTGCAGTGCCTGGCCTGGGCTCAAGCTCCTCCCCGGCCGCCTGCTGCTTCGCGCACTACTACATCCCCTGAGGGGTCCAGGATTGTGAGAGGGTGCAGGCTAGGCTGAGGGACCCCACTGGTGCACGAATCCATGCACCAGGCCTCTAGTAAATAAATAAAATGATGCCAAAAAGAACAAACCACTTATATGCATGGTTAGTGCCCTTAATTTGTTCCAAAAATATAGGACAAAAGGTTACCAAAAAATGGCTGTTGCAATATAAAATAATTTTGAATAAAAGTAATGCTTATCTTTCATACAACACATCTTTAAAAAGTATTCTTCTCGACAAAATAGATATATATACCCTCATGCACACATATACACACACATGTACTTATATACACATGCATCCATATGTGTACATGTATGTGGATACATGTATATGTAACATTAAGATATCCACACTGACAGGTAACCATACTAGCGGAACATTAAAATTGCATAAGAACTTTTTTTTTTGGTACAGATACTTCAAAGTAACTTTCTGTCCTCAAACATTCATGAATATATCAGCTCACATAAAAATTAGATACGATTCTGGGAGAAAATGCAGCTATCTATAAATATAAAAGCCTAAGCGACCGAACGACCAGTCTACCAGTTGCTATGACACGCACTGACCACCGGGGGCAGATGCTCAACACAGAAGCTGCCCCCAGGTGGTCAGTGAGCTTCCACAGCCAGCCAACCTCCCACGGTCCCTCCCCCCGGCTGGCCAACCTCCCACATTCCCTCCCCCTGGCCAGCCGGCCCCCCTCCTCCCCCCGCCCCATCGGCTCCAATAGCCGGCCAGGCTGAGGAACCTCAACCCATGCACGAATTCATGCACAGGGCCTCTAGTAGTTAATAATACTGTACTTCATATTTGAATGTTGCTGAGAGTAGATCCTAAAAGTTCTTATCACAAG